TGGTCAGCTAGCTAACAAGCTACAAGATAGCAAACATGCTAAACAACTCCATCATTAATATAACGGGCTTTAATTAAAGTAGTTATGAGATATCATTCACTGTAAAACTGCAATATAAAAGATTTTAAAATATCATTTGAATGTCTTACATACTTCAAATGTCAGAGTTTCGGTTAGAAGTCACTTCAAACCCAGACTGCATCCCAAACGACTCTGTACTCTCTAAATAGTGCACTAGGAAACCTTTCTCGCCTCTACAGCCAAATGGTGCACTTGAGAAGAGGAGCGACATTAGACTGGTGCTAAATAAGACTTGCGGTGGTGCTTTGGTGACCAAAAAGAACTTATAAAGCAAAGGTTTCTGCATTGAACAGTGCTGTGTTATCATATGTTCATTACTATATGACAAAAAGTTGAAAAGATCATGAAATGACCACGATATACAGCGATGGATCTGCCCTTCATTCAGCAGTTCATGTTTGTTTGGCAATGATACCATACTCTAAAGGAACTACATTTCTTGGAGAAATACTGGTTTATGTTGATGATTAGTAAAAATTACTTAAATTATTTACTGAAAGTTTTTATATTTTATCGTATTTTATGTTGGCCACCAGCAGTAAGCCACTTGTGATTATATCATGGAAATGGGGATTTTGAGTGCCTAAGAAAGTCCTTCCCCATGACAAAATTGCAGTTACGCCCAGCCTCGAGTGGCTTATAGCTTAATTTTACATGTGTATTTAAACTTTATCCTTTAATACAAGTAGGTTTCTGTAGTAATAGAGTATAAAAAAAAGTCTGTGCATTCTTTGTCTTGTCTGCATATTTACATCGTTAATAACATTAAATTCTAGAGTCAATTCTAGAGGCTACCTTACACTTCTTTTTCACAGATCAGGAAAAATGCTTTGAATTATGAACAAAAGCTTAACAGATGGACTGACGGATGAACAACATTGCTACCCTAACAGTGATCAATGGCAGTGTACCTTACATCAGTGGTTCTCTCCCCCAGGTCCAGGAGGCTCCTTGTGCTGCATGTTTTATTATTATATCTGCTCCATCACATCCAGTTCAACTAACCATGGTATTAAGAAGCCCTTCCTGAGCAGCAAAACACTAAAAAACTTTTGGACAAAGCTTGAGAGCCGATGCCTTATATAATCATGTATACTATTTAACGGTGTATCGTAAAAGGTTTTCCAGAACCAGTTTTCCAGAACCAGCTTCTTATATTATGAAACAAATATTAGACATTATTTAACCAACAGAAGAACTCTGATATCTCTAATAACTCAACATTAGTTTTATGTATGAATGTATGAAAGTAATGAATGAAAGTAATGTATGACTACAATACTTACTGAATGACCCTACCTTAGACTGACCCAGTGACTTGCTGTTGCTTCAGAAATCTCTGGCTGCCTACAAAAGAAGTCACAGCATTGAGTTTCTGAGCAGGCCTATGAAATGATGTTTTAAGGGGAGGGGCCAACTGAATGTAAAATGAGTGACATCATTGTTTATTTATTTATTTATTTATTTTTTTACTGTATAGTGCATCACACATTGCAGCCACTCACTAGGTGTGTAACAATCACCTTGACTTATTATAAGTTTAGGGGTTACATTTATAGTCCGAGGATACACAGCTTATGATTAAGAGCTAATGTAGTAAAAACCAACAAAGTCAAGCCCACAAAAAACCCAAAATAGACCCTGTTTAACCTGGCACCCAGAAATGCTTTATACATTTAAAGGTATCTGCCAAAACATACACAATTTATAATGCACAAACAGAACCCTCACACCATCAAATTTTAACAACATTCCATGCCCCTCTCCCAGTTTCTCCACAGTCCAACAAGTCCAAAATGCAAAAAATCAAAAAATGCTTAATCAAAAATTCAAGTCCTTAGCAATGCATTGCAAAAAACGAACAAAAAACGTAAACCAGCTGGATCTCACCGGCAGTGGCAGGCCTATCCCCAAGCTTCTTTCAGATCCCTGAGGATTAATCCACTTTTTAATCCTTTTTTGAACATGCTTGGTCCACCGGTCTGCCAGTCCATAAGTAGAGGAATAAGAGGAAATGTTGGTGGCTTTTGTTTGTTAATCCCTTCAGTACTCACAAAACACACCAAACTTTCCTCTTTCTTACACCGCCATCTTGTCTCTCTCCTTCCTCCTCTCTCTCTTTTTAACCAGGAAATGCTCCTCCTGTTTTTTTTTTCTCCCAGGAGCTCCACCCCTAGCATTTCCAGGAAGGTTCTTAAAGGAACAGTGCTATGATGGTTCAGCAAACAATTTTATTCTGGTCCCCTTTTTACCTGCCGTCGAATAGCAAAACTCAACAAATTTTAAATGTTAGCACACAGGAAGTTTATCCTTGCAAGACATTTAAGTTTTAAACACTTTCTTTGAAGTAATGTGCTACATATATATTTCCTATAAAAGACCTTTCATGTGGCAGTGTCACAGGTGCATACAAACAAAGCATGAAGTAGTTTTATTAAATGCAAATTTAGTACAGTAATTTACCGCCTGACAAGAGAAGACACCAGCAAAACTAGTTTGAGCGCTGTCCTTGGTGCTGAAGATGCCCCCAAGTCTGTTATGACTAGTGTGAAGATGCCCCCCTAGTCTGTTATGACTAGTTTCAAGATGTCCCCCTAGTCTGTTATGACTAGTTTGAAGATGTCCCCTACACTGTTATGACTAGTTTGAAGATGTCTCCCTAGTTTGTATGATGTATTTGAAGATGTCCCCCTAGTCTGTTATTACTAGTTTGAAGATGTCCCTCTACTCGTGTTATGACTACTTTGAAGATGCCCCCTACTCTAGATGTCCCCTACTCTGTTATGACTAGTTTGAAGATGTCCACCTACTCTGTTATGACAAGTTTGAAGATGTCCCCCAAGTTTGTTATGACCAGTTTGAAGATGGCCCCCTAGTCTGTTATGACTAGTTTGAAGATGACCCCCTAGTCTGTTATGACTAGTGTGAAGATGTCCCCTAGTTTGTTATGACTAGTTTGAAGATGACCCCCTAGTCTGTTATGACTAGTGTGAAGATGTCCCCTAGTTTGTTATGACTAGTTTGAAAATGACCCCCTACTCTGTTATGACTAGTGTGAAGATGTCCCCTAGTTTGTTATGACTAGTTTGAAAATGACCCCCTACTCTGTTATGATGAGTTTCAAGATGTTCCCCTAGTCTGTTATGACCAGTGTGAAGATGTCCCCCTACTCTGTTATGACTATTTTGAAGATGTCCCCCTACTCTGTTATGTCTAGTTTCAAGATGTCCCCCTAGTTTGTTATGACTAGTTTGAAGATGTCCCCCTACTCTGTAATGACTAGTTTGAAGATGCCCCCCTCGTCTGTTTTGACTAGTTTGAAGATATTCCCTACACTATATATTCCCTATGACTAATCTAAGTGCTGTCCTTGGTGCTGAAGATGTCCCCCAAGATGAAACTGAAAAAGATAATTAACCACAAATATTTATAATAAAACTCTAATTTGTTTGTAATATGCTCCACAACCTATTTTTTTAATCTGGGTTGTGGGGTGGAAGGTGCGACAGAGAAAGTGAGAGGTGAAAAACAGTACATTAACACACTCGAGAACACCAACTGATGATTGTCCAACTAAAAACACAAACCCATTCCCCATTACTCTAAGCCATTTGTGACTTTGTTAGTTAATCAACTAGACTAAGCTAGCTAGGTTTAACTTAAAAGGGAGGCGGCAGTGAATCATGATTAAAAGATAAGCTTTAAAAACCATGATACACTTGATACACATTATGCAGCACTGCTTAAAAAGCAAGTATGTACTTATTATAAATGAAAACACAAGTAATACTCAGCAGAAATGGCTGAACACCACCAAAAGCAGAGTGCCAGACGGTTAAAACGACTAAAGAATTTCAATTAAAATTTTAAACGCGGCAGCTCATCTTCACAGCACCCCGTGCTCAGACAAATTAAGGTACCTTGTGGAAATGTCCTACTGTAGTGTGTATTAATAGATACCCCAACATAAAACAATAGATATTTTGATAATGTAATTATCCTTATCAGAAAACACTACCGGCATTAAAACTATAGGAGGATATTCTGATGATGTAAATCTGTGTATCTGAAAACACTACCGGCGTTAAAACTACAGGAAGGATATTTTGATGATGTAAATCAATGTATCAGAATCTGTTACCAGCATTAAAAGATTAATTATATTTTCATAGCCTAAATCACTTTATCAGGGAGTAAATAGTGATATTGAGTTGAATCTGTACTAAATTTACACAATTACACAGTAAAACACATTAAAACGTCTGAAACACTGAATCACTGTGCTGTAATGATCTGCGCATGCTCTGTAGGACCGCTGGTGGGAGGGTAAATTGTTAGAGCTCACCAGGCTGAGGTTGGCTTCTTATCGGAATTTTCCATTCCACCTTAAATGGTGCAGGTGTTGCATCCTGGCGCCTGTACAAGCACCACGATGTTGCTGCTCCATTTAAGGTGGAACGGAAAATTCAGGTAAGAAAATCAGCTCAAACTCAGATTTTACTGAACTGACGGACTAAACGGACAATCTGGGAGTGGAAAGGTGGAAAAACTCTCTCTCTCTCTCTCTCTCTCTCTCTCTCTCTCTCACACACACACACACACACACACACACACTCACTCTCCCGCTTTCTCTCTCTCTCTCTCTCTCTCTCTCTACACACTCCTATTATATGGGATCGTATAGAAAACCTTAGAAAACCTTTTTAGTTCACACATCTGAAAAATAATCCCTTTTATCTGAAGTTCCCTGTCAGTCCTCATAAAGCCATAAGAGAACATTCTGTGGGTCTTCGCTGCGCGCGCCGTTACAGCCGCGTCATCATAGCGGACATACCGGTTCATCACGAGCTGAGGTAAACAAAGCGCTCTGCTTTAAAATCAGCGCTAGTGCTGAGTATCAGTGCCTGCAGGTCACTCACCCTGTAGGAGACTGAAGACTGAGATTCACTGAGAGTTTATCCTCTGTCTCTCTCCGTCACAGCGCAGCTCCTAAAAGAGTTACTTTCGGTTTCACTTCAGTGACGCACAGAGTGACGCACAGCTGGGCGGATCCTTCACAGATTAAACCCTCATATTTAAAAGCTTTTGTTTAAAAGAATTTGTTCTTGTTCTGGTATCCGGTGTCGACCAGAGCAGGATGGGTTCCCCTACTGAGTCTTGGTTCCTCTAAAGGTTTCCTCCTCTTGCTCTTAGGGAGTTTGTCTTGCCACTGTCGCCATTGGTGATCACGAATAAACACAAGATGCAGCTTTTGATCATTTCATTTATTGAAGATAAAGATTTATTCAAAACATATTTCACCCATGTGAAAAAGTAATTGCCCCTATCCTAATAAATGGTTCTGCCGCCCTCAGCAGTAACAACTGCAATCAAATGTTTGCCAATACCTTGCAATGAGTCTTTTACATCACTGAGGAGGAATTCTGGCCCCACTCTTCTTTACAGAAACCCGACATGCTCTTCTGCTGTTGTAGCCCATCCACCTCAAGGTTCGACGTGTTGTGTATTCTAAGATGCTTTTCTCACCACAATAGTACAGAGTGGTTATCTGAGATACTGTAGCCTTTCTGTTAGCTCCAACCAGTCCAGCCATTCTCCGCTGACCTCTCTCATCAATGAGGCATTTCTGTCTGCAAAACCGCCGCTCACTGGATGTTTTTTCTTTATTGCTCCATTCTGAGTAAAATATAGAGACTGTTGGGCGTGAAAATCTCAGGAGATCAGTAACTATAGAAATACCCAAACCAGCCCATCTGCCACCAACAATCATACCACAGTCAAATCACTGAGATCAGATTTTGTTCCCTACTCTGATGGCTGATGTGCTGCCTCAATTCTGTCTCTGTTTAGTTGACTTGCACAAAAAGAGCATGGGGTCCACAGGACTGACTTTGGGACCCCCTGATGTAAAGTGTCTGGTGTTGTTTTTGTTGTTCTTTCTAATTTATTGTATGGCTTCTCAAATTTGTCACAGGAGCATAATGTGACTGTATATTTAGGAACTGCAGTGTCGGGATAACAAGGATGTGTTTCAGTCCCAGACTTCTAACCATGAAGGAGGATGGAAAGGTAGAAGCACTACAGCTGTCACAGAGGAGGAGAGGATCGCCATTTTTAAAATAGAGTAAAATTGCACACAATCTGTAAACTGAAAGTGTGTCTATAGTGCTTTATTGGTGATTATAACTTTGTATGACTTTATTAACAATTTTATTTCATGGTGAATTTACTTTCCTTACATCATCTTGTACCACAAAACTCTCTAAAACTATCTATACTCAGTTACAGAAGCTTTCAATTAGCCCGTTTAATCACACAATAACTGTAGTGCATCGTTCACCCAGGTGCTCTGCTTAGGCTAATTTAACATTGTTAACATTGTGTTTCTGTGTTGACAGTTTAGTTCAGTTATACCACAGAAGTCTCACAAACTTGAGTCTAAAATATGACACTAATTATTTTACTGCTGCTGTTTGTTTGCTTAATTGAACAGACACTGGCTCTGCTCAGATGTCCAGTTGCAGTTGATGAACATCCTTATTTTTATTTAATAACTATCTATCACTGAAACAATACACACAAACTACATGAGCATCACTTACAGCTGCTAGCTAGCGTGAGGGCATATATGAACTATCTGGTATATAATTTCACTCAATCATAATCACACAACACACTATTGACTGAAAACTCAGATCACAAATCAGAAGCATTCAAGTTCTGCACATGCGTGTCATCAGATGTAAATGTCAAATGCGCAAGTGGTGTTCTGGTATGGCCACGCCCCAAATCTGTTTCATTGACCAATGACGGTTTGAGGCTAGAGAGTGCATTTCTGGAGCTTAGTGATTCATTACCACACACATAGACTGCTGTGGAGACCTACTGCAACCAGACCCTTTCTAATCTAAACCCTGACATAAATAAAATAAATATACTAACTAACTCCCTCTCTCTCTCTCTCTCTCTCTCTCTCTCTCTCTCTATATATATATATATATATATATATATATATATATATATAGTTAGTTAGTTAATATATTTATTTTATATATCTCATGTAAACAGCTAATAGACAAAGGAACAGGGTAATATTCCCCAAACTTCACCCCTGAAACAGAGCAGACGAGTCTCACAATGTCTGCCTACCTTCACCACGTGCTACATACAGTGATGGGCTTTATAGAAACTGTGATTTGAAACATGTTGAAGCTTTTGCACCCTCTCGGTCAGTGATATCAGATGTAGAGGAGACCACCTAGAGTGGTCCCACCTGTCCCACCAATACATGTTATAAACACATAAATAAATATATTAAAGCCTCTAAAAGCCTCGAGCTGTACAAACCCTCAGCAACATTCAATTCAATACACAGTTTACCTGCGTAAACTTTGATTTCATGCAGAACATAAATATTAATGACTTATACTGACAAAAAAATTTATTCTGTACGCAAAATGTGAGATTAACATTATTCAAATATATAAACCCATCATTAATACTTTTAACAGTAAAAGTATTAATGATGAAAATTCATGGTGATAAATTCAGGTTTTTTGATGGTTGTACATTAATCTGACCAGCAGGTGGAGCCAGCGGGCTGTGATTCGAATATGGGTAGTGGTGTCCACCTTAAATAGTGCAGAAGTTCCATTCAGGCGCTGAGGCTGGCCGCCAGCATCAGAACGGAACTGCTGCACTATTTAAGGTGAACCGTGAAATTCAGAGAAGAAGCTAATTTCAGCTTCGTGTAGAAAGATTTAAAGGGGGCTGAACTGCATATATTAGACACCAGACAGCTAAATAACTCTCTACAGGTTATAATTATCAGTACAGTTTATTAGTGAGGTAAAAATACAGTTAACAGACGTTATTTTCTTTACTGTTAAGTAGTACTGTTCCTTGTCCACCAGCTTCATCCTGGGCCTGGCTCTCAGCCTAGAGAGCTCAGAGCTCTTCATAGCAGACAGATTTATAAATACATTGTCTGTTATAATAATAATAATAATAATAATAATAATAATAATTGATAGAGTCAGTAGATCAGTGTTAGAGCTCTTAATAGCAGTCATGTCTATATAATAACGGTCCAGATCAGGATCTGTACAGTAAACAAAGCGCTGTGTAGATAAACAGAGTTTACCTGCTTTAAACTCAGCGCTAGTGCTGAGTATCAGTGCTGACTGTAGATCACTCACCCTGTTGAAGTGTGAAGTCTGGGATCTGCTGTTCTCCTTTATGCTGTTGTTGCCCTCTGCTAATGTGCCCCGCCTAGGAGTTACTTTCACTTTCACTCACAGAAAGGTCTGCGGTAGAGGCTCCACAGTACATGTGTGATGTAATTGCATCACCAAGCCCTGCAAATGCACTCTCAAGCCCTTCACTGTAGCAATGACAACAGTACACAACCTACACAGTTAGGGGTTTGGTAACTTCTTTCTAGACACACACACACACATCTTCTAAGCCGCTTGTCCTTCTGGGTCGCGGGGGGTGCTGTAGCTCTTTCTAGACACGTCAAAGTTGATTAATATACCGCTTATTACAGCCGTTGTTGCAAAGCAGCTTTACAGAAGAATCTGGATCCAAGCCCCCATGAGCGTCACCAATGGCAACAGTGGCAGGGAAAAAAAAAACTCCCTAAGAGCGAAAGGGAGAAACTTTGAGAGGAACCAAGACTCAAAAGGGGAACCCATTGACCTGCAGATACTGATGCACATTTTACATGTTCATACTGATCTCTTACAGTGAGAAACAAAACCTGATGGACACTCTGATTTGTCAGTGTCTTTAATGCTTCTTTAAAGCCTTTGAATTTATCTTTTCCCAGAAAAATTTTGTTGAGAAATATTCCACTTACCTTGATTGATTAGGTGCATTTGTGTTGTTCAGCCATTTTACTCAACCAAGCATCAAAATATTCATTATATAAGTAATTGAGGAATAGAAGATTAGAAAATGAGTTTAACCTTATTCAAATATATAAACACACAGGATTTTTGTATATGAAGGTCACAGCATGTAGACTAATTCAATATAATAACAGTAAAAGTATTAATGATGAAGATTTATGGTGATAAATTCAGGTTTTGTGATGCATGTACATTAATCTGACCAGCAGGTGGCGCCAGCGGGCTGTGATTCGAATATGGGTGCTGTTGTCTCTACAGTAAATCTACTGATGACACAAAATTTGAAGATTTTAGTTTAGTTTATATGGCTTTAATGAAAAAGACGAATATATTTCATGGACCGAAATGCATTTTAATGATTTAGATTATTTGATCAAAGCCAACACAGTTTTATGTCCTGTCGACTTGTTTTCAGTTGGCATGTCAACCAGTCACGGCTCGCGCTGCGTGTCCTAAACTCGACAGGACAGATTACAACAAAAGAGACATCAAAGGCTTCATCAGTAAAGGCTTCTTTACTGACCGTTTGTTGAAGTTTAAGATGAGTAATTTAACTTTAGTTCATCTCATTTCTTCAGAAATAACGCTAGAAAAGTTACTATTTAGCGTTAAACTGGGAACTAAACAAAACTCAAACTGGTAAAACTGGTGCTGGGTCAAACTCGCACTGTGTGAAAGTCCAGCTTATAAGAGTTTATAAAGAAGCTTATTAATAAATCACTATTTTATTAAAGTATGAAAAAATGATATAAATATATTAGAGCTGCTGTTGACCGTTAAATCTGTTGGTTCAGATTAGCTGAATATGTCAGGCGGGAAATAATGGACTGGACTAACCGGGACCCCCTGAATGGGGGGCCTCCAAAAGCCTCAAAAATACATTGAATTTGGTTTCTAGTTTTTAAACTTTGTATTATTATGCAAATAAATAACACAAGACTATATTTCCATGATAATCTTTCACGTTCTGTTTATACTGCTGTTTCTATTCTCCCCCCCTCAGAAGTAAAAGTGGTTTGATCCACATCTATCGTCTCCTGTCGTTGTTGACTGTTTAGGGCAGTTAGCGCTGTTGACCAGTTCTGACCTGCTGAAAATGAAGCCCAGACCAGGATTTCTCAGATGAGAGGAGCAGAGAGAGTCAGAGAGAAGGCAAAAAGAGGGCAGGAACAATTCTGACCCCTTTACTCCTGAAAACAGGTGAGCCTGAAGGGCCAAACGGTAAATATGTCGTAGTAGCCTGAGCTAAAGTTAGCTAGGTTAGCTAGCTAGCGATTAGGTTCAATTGCAGTCCTTTTTAACGAGCCCGAGCTGATAAAGAAGCTCAGGATTTGATTTAATGCAGCAAATAAAACATTTTAAAACGTCTAAAGGAGCAGACAGTGTTTCTGAAGTTAGCATTAGCCCTGCAGCTAACCTGTAAAACCCACACTGTTAGTTCTAGAAGCAGCTGCAGTCGCTGAGGAGAGAGAGCAGCACCTCCTCCTTCACTGATCCAGCTGAACACATGGAGCAAGGTGAGCTCACCAAGGTAGGGAGATAGAAGACAACTTACAAACAGACATTTGCTGAGCAGTTTCAGTGAAAATGAAAGTATATTTTCATATTTATTATTTATGTTAAGCTTTTCTTTTTTGATTTTCCTTCTAATTACATTCAAGTGTAATTAATCAATCAATCAACCTTTATTTAATCTCAGAGAATATTGAGGGTGACCCTCATTTACAATGTTGCCGAGTTGATACAGAACAAGGGATTGATAATGTTCAGAACGTATCAAATAATAAAAGTACATTTAATAAATAAAGACTCAAATCAGGTAAGTATAAAAGATCTAATAATAAAAATACATAAAAACACAATTAAAAATATAAAACAAAATTTAGCTAAATTGTAAAAGTTAATAAAATGAAAAGCAGTAATAAAGATCTTAAACAGTTTCGTCCTTTAAACAGCCTTTATTGTTAACACACACAAGAGTATAACAACCTTGCATTCGTAACAGGTACTTTTAGCAAATTAGGAATCTACAAGGTGTTAACATGCAGAATCAGTGATTACAGTTCTCTTTACATTCACAACAATAAACCTTCAAACATGCTACACAAATACAATACAAAAACACATCAGTGATCAGTGCTATGAATCAGTGATCAATACTGTAAACCAGTGATCAATACTGTGAACCAGTGATCAATACTACGATTCAGTGATCAATACTGTGAACCGGTGATCAATACTGTGAACCAGTGATCAATACTGTAAACCAATGATCAATACTGTGAACCAGTGATCATCACTTCATAATTCTGTGTGAGTGAAGACGAGCAGGTGTTTCTTCTGTTTCCCTCCTGAGTTCCTGAAAAGAACCTCAGCCAGACTGAACTAAAGCTGCTACTTTTAAATAAACATAATTTAACACTCATTAATATTCATATTACCAACTGTCTCATTGGCCTGTTCACACATTTTGAGTGACATTTGTGATGTTCACACTAAGACAGGAAATATTTGACATATATTGATTTAACTCTTATTTGTAGTAATAGAGAAGGTGTGCAGGCAATAGAAGGTACAATACTACTATGACCAATACGATCACTGCTACTACTAATAACAATAATAACAATAATGTTAATAAAAGTCACACATGCTGTGAGAGGTTGTAGTTATTAAGAGCTTTTTGTTAGTTAGCTGCAGTAATATGGGTTCTATACACACAGAAAGTAATAACAGTATCAGTAAGTGTGTAACACTTTAAAAGGACTCAGACTGATTAGACATTTAGGCCTCAGTATGGTGTACATGTCCAATACTATTAACAGGGATGCAAACAGGTAAAGGGTAAAAAAAGGTGAGAACATTGTGTGAAAACCTGCCACTACTAGCGGGGCCTGGGGGCAGCGCCCTCCCCCCGGAAAAAAGATTTCAAAGATATTAGCTTTATGTGCTCATTTATTTTCATTCCAACTAATTCTAACAGCCATTATATATAACTGATCACACTGAGTGAGATTTTTGGAGGGTGAACATTATTCTATTTGTTGGTGTGGAGCTGCACCTCCAGAAGCAGCTCAGACTGAGTTCTGGAGATCTGATCTTTCAGCTCCTGAATGAGGTGGTGAAGCTCTCCGCTCTCCTTTAGCTTTTACAGAGTGGAGAGTGAGGAGCGCAGGATATTCTACACAGACCTTCTGACCGTTTGTTCATTTTACAGTTTAGATGTGAAAAAACTGTGTCTGAATGTTTCATGTTTGTGTTTATTTTTATATCTGGATCGGTGTGTAAAGGCATTTAGATCTACAGCTCAGTGATCCATCTACAGCCAACTCAGAGTTCTATCACACAATCAATAACTGATCACTTTTAAACAGTCAGAGCTGCTGCTGGCTGATCATCATTGGTTCACTCCTACAAGTCCACTTCTGTACGAACTCTGCACTGAGTGTGTGTTAGTGAGCTGTGAGCTCTGTGAGAAACTCATCCACACTTCTATCAGGAGCTGAAGGGTGAACATGCTGCCTTATAGCTGCTGCAGACTCTCTGAAATCAGATGAAGATGAAATCAGACACAGCTGAGCTGCTGCTAGTCGGGGTGTCAGTGTGTCGGGGTCTTTACGGTGTTTCTACACTGACTGTGTGTGTGTTGTGTGTGAGAGACTGAGATCTACCAGACAGTCTCTGTTCTTTACAGTGGAACACCATGAAAAGGGGATTCACTAAAGGAAACATTTACAGATATAATCAATATCATCAATATCAATATCACACAGTCAGAAACCTGTTAGCTGATGCTGACACAATACTTCAACAATACTTCAGATTTTAGTCCTGACTGGACTACAAAATGATGCAATCCTAAATCCGGGATCTGTATTTATAGAAACAAGAAGAAGAGACAACTTGTTACAATATTGACAGATAACCAAACACAGTTTTACATATGAGAAACATTTTTGTGATAATGTTCAGAATTCCATGTGCAAGTTTCCTCTGTTCAGCCCGACATCCAGCTCTCTGTAGTTATTAAACATCATCTACGAGTTGTAAAAGGTTGGGGACCCCTGTAACAGACCATAAAGGGAATTATCTAAACATTTCCAGATCAAACAACATTATAAACTCAGAAAACCTGTTATCTGATGCTGATCACACACTGCAGATCATTCATCCAGATATTAGTCCTGATTTTAGTCCTGTGCTAATGTTTAAGCTCATGTTGAGCTCTGTCTGTATGTGTATTACAGAATTTGGGGTGGTGATGATTTGATTGTAGTTGTGGTGATGAAGCTCCTCATACAAGTTCTAGAACGTTATGTCAAAGATAGAAGACGTTCTGTAAAATGGGTTCCTTCAGGCTCTCAGCTCTGCAGAGATCAGTGTTCTCCATCTTCTAGCTCTCTGAATTCAGCTGATGAAGATCTTGTTAATGAGCTGATCAGGTGAATCAGGTGTGTTTAATAAGGAGGAACACTAAACTCTGCAGAGCTGTGGTCTGGAAGGAACCCAGTTTGATTCCTCTGTTCTGAACCACTGAACCTTTATGAGTCATGTAGCCTGAACTCAGTTCAGCTCAGATCAGGATTCACTCTGAATGTTCAGTACAGCATTGAAGAGGCTGTTCATGTGTTCAGTTTACTCACCCAAGTTTCTGCACAGAATCAAGTTGTGTTTTAGTCGTCTCTATGCCCTTAGTCTGCCCACTAATCTGGCCACTGTAATGATAGAAAGAAGAGAACTTCAGTTTTGAGAATTTAACTTCAGTTTCGGTCTCCTTGTAGAGTGTGGGGGGTGTCAGTAAAATATCTCTGAGACTGGACGCTGTATCTCGGCTCCAAAGTGTCCAACATAGCGCGAAAGCCTTGGTTCTCAACGACTGAGTACGGATGCAAATCCTTGGCAATAAAAGTTGTGATTGAGTTTGTAGTTCACTTCGTCCTTTCAGAGTTGGGTGAAAGCTTTGACATCGCTTGATCGATGGTCCTCTGGTTGGCAGCAACTACAACCGGGCGGAAAATGGTGGAAACATGTAATAGGCTCCACAGAAGCCAAAGCGCTTCCATACGCTAGCTCAGGGGTCAGCAACCTGTGGCTCTTTCACTGGCCTGGTGTGGCTCCACATCAGAGTTAGATTTCTAGGTAGAATAAAATAATCCTCATTTGCAGTAAAATAAAGCTCTGCTGATCGTTCAAACACAGTTTAACAATGAATGATCTTAAACGCCTGAATTAATGTAGCATATAACTGCTAGTTCACCTAGCTAGTAGCTAACGAAAAGGCAAAGAGAAAGATTTAAAATGAACATCCATAATTTGGAGATGAATGGACTTATTTGCATTTATAATCCCTCCAGCTGGTTTCCTGATACGTTTAATCTGCAAAGAGAAACTGTCAAACAGTAAAAAACATGTAACTGAAGTCAGTTTCTCGTTCTCCAGCTTCTCGTTCGAATTGTCCCGTTCCACCTTAAATGGTGCAGCAGTTACACTCTGGCGCCTCAGGCACCATTTAAGGTGGAACGGAAAAATTTGAACGAGAAGCTGAAGAACGAGAAACTGACTTCAGCCTCGCAAAAAGTAGAACATTGAGAGACATTTTACAAGAAACTGTTCTCCTTTCCAAGGTCAACATATCTTTGCCTTGTTTAAATTGGGTGTTCTCCTATCTTTCACATGGTGACGAATGAAGGGAATTTGACCTCTGTGTGACCTCATATACCCCAGTGACACAGGAAGTTGAAGATGACTGTGTGGAAGTTCCTAGACACTCTGATTATCTTTAAAATGTAAAATACAAAGGGAAGAAGTGTTTCATTTACATTTTGTTCATAAGAATTTTCACGGGTGCCAGTAATCGTGTCACATGTGGTTTTGTTAAAATAATTTTCTTGATGGATTTTTTTCTCAGAATAAATTTACTTCAGTTAAAGATTTTCATTTTTGTCAGTATGAGATTAAGCTAATTCAGCAAAAGGAAGGATCCCAGTTTGATTCCTCTGTTCTGAACCATTGAATCTTTGTGAATCATCTAGCCTGAAATCACTGAAGCTCAACTCAGGATTCACTCTGAACGTTCAAAGCAGTAATAAAGACGCTGTGTGTGTTGGTGTACTCACACAGTCCTCTCCAAAGAATCCAGTCTCTCTTTGAGGGTCTCTTCTGTGCTCTTAATCTGGTCACTATTCTTCTCACTGTAATTAAAGGAACGAGAGAAAGAGGTTAGGAAATGAATTTCACATTTTCAAACACTTGATATTTCTTAGTATAAAGTGTAAAATTTGAATTTACTAAAGAATCAACAGTTAAACTTAATCAACATCACACAGTCAGAACCCTGTTATCTGATGCTGATCACACACTGCAGAACATTCATCCAGATTTCAGTCCTGATTTTAGTCCTGTGCTAATGTTTAAGCTCATGTTGAGCTCAGTCTTTATCTGTACTACAGAATTTGGGGTGTTGAGGATTTGATTGTAGTTGTGATGAAGAAACTCTTTATACTAGAATGTTACATCAAAGAGAGAAGATGTTCTGTAAACTAGGTTCCTTCAGGCTTCTACCTCTCTGAATTCAGCTGATGAAGATCTTGTTAATGAGCTGATCAGGTGAATCAGGTGTGTTTAATAAGGAGGAACACTAAACTCTGCAGAGCTGTGGTCTGGAAGGAACCCAGTTTGATTCCTCTGTTCTGAACCACTGAACCTTTATGAGTCATGTAGCCTGAACTCAGTTCAGCTCAGATCAGGATTCACTCTGAATGTTCAGTACAGCATTGAAGAGGCTGTTCATGTGTTCAGTTTACTCACCCAAGTTTCTGCACAGAATCAAGTTGTGTGTTAGTTGTCTCTATGCCCTTAGTCTGCCCACTAATCTGGCCACTGTAATGACAGAAAGAAGAGAAAGAGATTGAGAATTTCTTTCATTTGTTTTCTAGGATTTGTTTGTGGTTGCAGTGATAAAACTTCTCATACACTCCTCTCCACAACTACTGGCAGTCTGGGAAAAAATGATCACAAAGGGCTATAAGAAGTTCACCTTTTGATGTTTACGCTTGACCTCACACTGAAAAAAATGAGAAAAATCCAAACTTTAACTGAAGTGAGTTTATTCTGAGAAAAAATCCATCAAGAAACATTTTTAACAAACTACATGTGCCACAATTATTGGCAGCCCTGCATTCAATGCTTTGCTAATGAAACAGCACTTATTCTTCTCCTACATCATCTTCTAAGGTGGGAGAACACAGAGCAGGGAATGTGAGACCAGTCCTCATTACAGAATCTCTCCAGATCTTCCAGGGTCCTAGCTCCTCTCTCTCTTTAGCTCAGCCCACAGGTTTTCTATGGGGTTTAGATCAGGGGACTGAGATGTTCAGAGCAGAAGCTTGATTTTGAGTTCAGAAAACCTTTTTTGTGTTGGACATATGTTTTTGATCATTGTCCTGCTGGAGGATCCAATGATGACCTATTTATTAGGTTCTTGATCCAGGCAGATAGAGTGTGATTTAGAATCTGCTGGTATTTAATGGAGTCCATGATGCCATGTTCCCTAACAGGGTTCCCAAGGGCTCTTGAGGAAAAACAGCCCCTCAAGATCACAGACCCTCCACCATACTTAACAGTGGGCATCAAGTTTTTTCGGTGTAGTCAACATTTCTTTGCCTTGTTTAAATTGTGTGTTCTCCTATCTTTCACATGGTGACGAATGAAGGGAATTTGACCTCTGTGTGACCTCATATACCCCAGTGACACAGGAAGTTGAAGATGACTGTGTGGAAGTTCCTAGACACTCTGATTATCTTTAAAATGTAAAATACAAAGGGAAGAAGTGTTTCATTTACATTTTGTTCATAAGAATTTTCACGGGTGCCAGTAATCGTGTCACATGTGGTTTTGTTAAAAATAATTTTCTTGATGAGGATTTTTTTCTCAGAATAAATTTACTTCAGTTAAAGATTTTCATTTTTGTCAGTATGAGATTAAGCTAATTCAGCAAAAGGAAGGATCCCAGTTTGATTCCTCTGTTCTGAACCATTGAATCTTTGTGAATCGTCTAGCCTGAAATCACTGAAGCTCAACTCAGGATTCACTCTGAACGTTCAAAGCAGTAATAAAGACGCTGTGTGTGCTCAGTGTACTCACACAGTCCTCTCCAAAGAATCTAGTCTCTTTCTGAAGGTCTCTTCTATGCTCTTAATCTGGTCACTATTCTTCTCACTGTAATTAAAGGAACGAGAGAAAGAGGTTAGGAAATGAATTTCACGTTTTCAAACACTTGATATTTCTTAGTATAAAGTGTAAAATTTGAATTTACTAAAGAATCAACAGTTAAACTTAATCAACATCACACAGTCAGAACCCTGTTATCAGATGCTGATCACACACTGCAGAACATTCATCCAGATTTCAGTCCTGATTTTAGTCCTGTGCTGATGTTTAAGCTCATGTTGAGCTCAGTCTTTATCTGTACTACAGAATTTGGGGTGTTGAGGATTTGATTGTAGTTGTGGTGATGAAGCTCCTCATACGAGTTCTAGTACATTCAGTACAGCATTGAAGAGGCTGTTCATGTGTTCAGTTTACTCACCCAAGTTTCTGCAAAGAACCAAGTTGTGTGTTGGTCTTCTCTATGCCCTTAGTCTGCCCACTAATCTGGCCACTGTAATGACAGAAAGAAGAGAAAGAGATTGAGAATTTCTTTCATTTGTTTTCTAGGATTTGTTTGTGGTTGTAGTGATAAAACTCTTCATACACTCCTCTCCACAACTACTGGCAGACTGGGAAAAAATGATGACTATGGGTTCTAACTAGGGGTGGGAATCTATAGGCGCCTCATGATTTGATTCGATTATGATTCAGAGGCTGAGATGCGATTCTAAAACTATTATCGCTGCATCTTGATGCATCTTTTTTCCTATACAGGATTTCTTTTTTCTCACTGTGTGAGGACTTGGAACTTTTAAAGCAAAGTATTTGTGATGATCCATAATGAGTTTACTTCCAATATCTTTTATTAATAAAACAAATGGAAGCCATGTCAACTGGAAGGCTCTCATTCACTGCTCTTGTTTGGAGCCCATGAGACGCTGCTGCCACTCATCTGTGATAAAATGCACTGTTATGGTGAAATAAGATCCTGTGGTAATGAGTGTCCACTCAGCAGATTACAGCTATTCTACCTGTTTATTCAGTGATTTAACTTCAGTTTTGGTCTCCTTGTAGAGTGTGGGGGGTGTCAGTAAAATATCTCTGAGACTGGACGCTGTATCTCAGCTCCAAAGTGTGCAACATAGCACGAAAGCCTTGGTTCTCAACGACTGAGGACAGATGCAAATCATTGGCAATAAAAGTTGTGATAGAGTTTGTAGTTCACTTCGTCCTTTCAGAGTTGGGTGAAAGCTTTGACATCGCTTGATCGATGGTCCTCTGGTTGGCAGCAACTACAACCGGGCGGAAAATGGTGGAAACATGTAATATGCTCCACAGAAGCCAAAGCGCTTCCATACGCTAGCTCAGGGGTCAGCAACCTGTGGCTCTTTCACTGGCCTGGTGTGGCTCCACATCAGAGTTAGATTTCTAGGTAGAATAAAATAATCCTCATTTGCAGTAAAATAAAGCTCTGCTGATCGTTCAAACACAGTTTAACAATGAATGATCTTAAACGCCTGAATTAATGTAGCATATAACTGCTAGTTCACCTAGCTAGTAGCTAACGAACAGGCAAAGAGAAGGATTTAAAATGAACATCCATAATTTGGAGATGAATGGACTTATTTGCATTTATAGTCACTCCAGCTGGTTTCCTGATACGTTTAATCTGCAACTGTCAAACAGTAAAAGACATGTCAAACTGAAGTCAGTTTCTCGTTCTCCAGCTTCTCATTCAAATTGTCCCGTTCCACCTTAAATGGTGCAGCAGTTACACTCTGGCGCCTCAGGCACCATTTAAGGTGGAACGGAAAAATTTGAACGAGAAGCTGAAGAACGAGAAACTGACTTCAGCCTCGTAAAAAGTAGAACACTGAGAGACATTTTACAAGAAACTGTTCTCCTTTCCAAGGTCAACATATCTTTGCCTTGTTTAAATTGTGTGTTCTCCTATCTTTCACATGGTGACGAATGAAGGGAATTTGACCTCTGTGTGACCTCATATACCCCAGTGACACAGGAAGTTGAAGATGACTGTGTGGAAGTTCCTAGACACTCTGACTATCTTTAAAATGTAAAATACAAAGGGAAGAAGTGTTTCATTTACATTTTGTTTATAAGAATTTTGACGGGTGCCAGTAATCGTGTCACATGTGGTTTTGTTAAAATAATTTTCTTGATGAGGATTTTTTTCTCAGAATAAATTTACTTCAGTTAAAGATTTTCATTTTTGTCAGTATGAGATTAAGCTAATTCAGCAAAAGGAAGGATCCCAGTTTGATTCCTCTGTTCTGAACCATTGAATCTTTGTGAATCGTCTAGCCTGAAATCACTGAAGCTCAACTCAGGATTCACTCTGAACGTTTAAAGCAGTAATAAAGACGCTGTGTGTGTCGGTGTACTCACACAGTCCTCTCCAAAGAACCCAATCTCTCTTTGAGGGTCTCTTCTGTGCGCTTAATCTGCTCACTATTCTGCTTACTGTAATTAAAGGAACGAGAGAAAGAGGTTAGGAAATGAATTTCACATTTTCAAACACTTGATATTTCTTAGTATGAAGTGTAAAATTTGAATTTACTGAAGAATCAACAGTTAAACTTAATCAACATCACACAGTCAGAACCCTGTTATCAGATGCTGATCACACACTGCAGAACATTCATCCAGATTTCAGTCCTGATTTTAGTCCTGTGCTAATGTTTAAGCTCATGTTGAGCTCTGTCTTTATCTGTACTACAGAATTTGGGGTGTTGAGGATTTGATTGTAGTCGTGGTGATGAAGCTCCTCATACTAGTTCTAGAACGTTACGTCAAAGAGAGAAGATGTTCTATAAACTATAAGGAGGAGAACTAAACTCTGCAGAGTTGTGGTCTGGAAGGAACCCAGTTTGATTCCTCTGTTCTGAACCATTGAACCTTTATGAGTCGTGTAGCCTGAACTCAGTTCAGCTCAGATCAGGATTCACTCTGAGCAGGGTCCTAGCTCCTCTCTCTCTTTAGCTCAGCCCACAGGTTTTCTATGGGGTTTAGATCAGGGTACTGAGATGTTCAGAGCAGAAGCTTGATTTTGAGTTCAGTAAACCTTTTTTATATTTGACATATGTTTTTGATCATTGTTCTGCTGGAGGATCAAATGACGACCTATTTGTTAGGTTCTTGATCCAGGCAGATAGAGTGTAATTCAGAATCTGCTGGTATTTCGTGGAGTCCATGATGCCATGTACCCTAACAGGGTTCCCAAGGGCTCTGGAGGAAAAACAGCCCGATAACATCACAGACCCTCCACCATACTTTACAGTGGGCATCAGGTTCTGTCAGTGTAGTCATCCTTCTTATTATGCCAAACCCACCTTGAGTGTTTGTTGCCTAAAAGCTCAATTTTCCTTTCATCTGACCGTAGAACACGGTTCCAATCACAGACGTAGTAGCGTTTATCAAACTCCAGGGTCTTATGTTTGTGATTAGATGACAGAAAAGGCTTTTTCCTGGCTTGCCTTCCAGATAATCTGTTGGCATGGAGGTGGTGTCTGATGGTAGTTTTGGAGACTTAGTGACCCCAAGATGCTCCTGTTTTTCTGTAACTCTCCTTGGGGCTTCTTTGGCCTCTCTTACCATCCACCTCACTGTGTGTGGGGACAGAATACACTTGGGTTCTCATTCAGTCAAGTCTGCAGCTATTTTTCTACATCCATTCTCTGATTTATGAAGGTCAACATATCTTTGCCTTGTTTAAATTGTGTGTTCTCCTATCTTTCACATGGTGACGAATGAAGGGAATTTGACCTCTGTGTGACCTCATATACCCCAGTGACACAGGAAGTTGAAGATGACTGTGTGGAAGTTCCTAGACACTCTGATTATCTTTAAAATGTAAAATACAAAGGGAAGAAGTGTTTCATTTACATTTTGATTATAAGAATTTTGACGGGTGCCAGTAATCGTGTCACATGTGGTTTTGTTAAAATAATTTTCTTGATGAGGATTTTTTTCTCAGAATAAATTTACTTCAGTTAAAGATTTTCATTTTTGTCAGTATGAGATTAAGCTAATTCAGCAAAAGGAAGGATCCCAGTTTGATTCCTCTGTTCTGAACCATTGAATCTTTGTGAATCGTCTAGCCTGAAATCACTGAAGCTCAACTCAGGATTCACTCTGAACGTTTAAAGCAGTAATAAAGACGCTGTGTGTGTCGGTGTACTCACACAGTCCTCTCCAAAGAACCCAATCTCTCTTTGAGGGTCTCTTCTGTGCGCTTAATCTGCTCACTATTCTGCTTACTGTAATTAAAGGAACGAGAGAAAGAGGTTAGGAAATGAATTTCACATTTTCAAACACTTGATATTTCTTAGTATGAAGTGTAAAATTTGAATTTACTGAAGAATCAACAGTTAAACTTAATCAACATCACACAGTCAGAACCCTGTTATCTGATGCTGATCACACACTGCAGAACATTCATCCAGATTTCAGTCCTGATTTTAGTCCTGTGCTAATGTTTAAGCTCATGTTGAGCTCTGTCTTTATCTGTACTACAGAATTTGGGGTGTTGAGGATTTGATTGTAGTCGTGGTGATGAAGCTCCTCATACTAGTTCTAGAACGTTACGTCAAAGAGAGAAGATGTTCTATAAACTATAAGGAGGAGAACTAAACTCTGCAGAGTTGTGGTCTGGAAGGAACCCAGTTTGATTCCTCTGTTCTGAACCATTGAACCTTTATGAGTCGTGTAGCCTGAACTCAGTTCAGCTCAGATCAGGATTCACTCTGAATGTTCAGTACAGCATTGAAGAGGCTGTTCATGTGTTCAGTTTACTCACCCAAGTTTCTGCACAGAATCAAGTGTTTGTGTGAGGGTCTTCCCTGTGTCCTTAGTCTGCCCACTAATCTGGCCACTGTAATGATAGAAAGAAGAGAAAGAGATTGAGAATTTCTTTCATTTGTTTTCTAGGATTTGTTTGTGGTTGTAGTGATAAAACTCTTCATACACTCCTCTCCACAACTACTGGCAGACTGGGAAAAAATGATGACTATGGGTTTTAACTAGGGGTGGGAATCTTTAGGCGCCTCACGATTCGATTCGATTACGATTCAGAGGCTGAGATGCGATTCTAAAACTATTATCGCTGCATCTTGATGCATCTTTTTTCCTATACAGGATTTCTTTTTTCTCACTGTGTGAGGACTTGGAACTTTTAAAGCAAAGTATTTGTGATGGTCCATAATGAATTTACTTCCAATATCTTTTATTAATAAAACAAATGGAAGCCATGTCAACTGGAAGGCTCTCATTCACTGCTCTTGTTTGGAGCCCATGAGACGCTGCTGCCACTCATCTGTGATAAAATGCACTGTTATGGTGAAATAAGATCCTGTGGTAATGAGTGTCCACTCAGCAGATTACAGCTACTCTACCTGTTTATTCAGTGATTTAACTTCAGTTTCGGTCTCCTTGTAGAGTGTGGGGGGTGTCAGTAAAATATCTCTGAGACTGGACGCTGTATCTCGGCTCCAAAGTGTGCAACATAGCGCGAAAGCCTTGGTTCTCAACGACTGAGGACAGATGCAAATCCTTGGCAATAAAAGTTGTGATAGAGTTTGTAGTTCACTTCGTCCTTTCAGAGTTGGGTGAAAGCTTTGACATCGCTTGATCGATGGTCTTCTGGTTGGCAGCAACTACAACCGGGCGGAAAATGGTGGAAACATGTAATATGCTCCACAGAAGCCAAAGCGCTTCCATACGCTAGCTCAGGGGTCGGCAACCTGTGGCTCTTTCACTGGCCTGGTGTGGCTCCACATCAGAGTTAGATTTCTAGGTAGAATAAAATAATCCTCATTTGCAGTAAAATAAAGCTCTGCTGATCGTTCAAACACAGTTTAACAATGAATGATCTTAAACGCCTGAATTAATGTAGCATATAACTGCTAGTTCACCTAGCTAGTAGCTAACGAACAGGCAAAAAGAAGGATTTAAAATGAACATCCATAATTTGGAGATGAATGGACTTATTTGCATTTATAGTCACTCCAGCTGGTTTCCTGATACGTTTAATCTGCAAAGAGAAACTGTCAAACAGTAAAAAAACATGTGAAACTGAAGTCAGTTTCTCGTTCTCCAACTTCTTGTTTGAATTGTCCCGTTCCACCTTAAATGGTGCAGCAGTTACACTCTGGCGCGTCAGGCACCATTTAAGGTGGAATGGAAAAATTTGATCGAGAAGCTGGAGAACGAGAAACTGACTTCAGCCTCGTAAAAAGTAGAACACTGAGAGACATTTTACAAGAAACTGTTCTCCTTTCCAAGGTCAACATATCTTTGCCTTGTTTAAATTGTGTGTTCTCCTATCTTTCACATGGTGACGAATGAAGGGAATTTGACCTCTGTGTGACCTCATATACCCCAGTGACACAGGAAGTTGAAGATGACTGTGTGGAAGTTCCTAGACACTCTGATTATCTTTAAAATGTAAAATACAAAGGGAAGAAGTGTTTCATTTACATTTTGATTATAAGAATTTTCACGGGTGCCAGTAATCGTGTCACATGTGGTTTTGTTAAAAATAATTTTCTTGATGAGGATTTTTTTCTCAGAATAAATTTACTTTAGTTAAAGATTTTCATTTTTGTCAGTATGAGATTAAGCTAATTCAGCAAAAGGAAGGATCCCAGTTTGATTCCTCTGTTCTGAACCATTGAATCTTTGTGAATCGTCTAGCCTGAAATCACTGAAGCTCAACTCAGGATTCACTCTGAACGTTCAAAGCAATATTAAAGACGCTGTGTGTGTTGGTGTACTCACACAGTCCTCTCCAAAGAATCAAATCTCTTTTTGAAGGTCTCTTCTATGCGCCCAGTCTGGTCACTGTTCTGGATACTGTAATTAAAGGAACGAGAGAAAGAGGTTAGGAAATGTCTTTCACATTTTCAAACACTTGATATTTCTTAGTATAAAGTGTAAAATTTGAGTTTACTAAAGAATCAACAGTTAAACTTAATCAACATCACACAGTCAGAACCCTGTTATCTGATGCTGATCACACACTGCAGAACATTCATCCAGATTTCAGTCCTGATTTTAGTCCTGTGCTAATGTTTAAGCTCATGTTGAGCTCTGTCTTTATCTGTATTACAGAATTTGGGGTGTTGAGGATTTGATTGTAGTTGTGGTGATGAAGCTCCTCATACAAGTTCTACAACGTTACGTCAAAGAGAGAAGACGTTCTGTAAACGACGTGTTGCATGGCATGTGCTGCCCCGGGCTCAAGGAAGACGCTGAAGGCAGGATTAATTTCTCTGCATACTTTGTTAGCCCCCTTTTACCCTGTTATTCAGTGGTCAGGACCCCCATGGACCCTCACAGAGCAGGTACTATTTGGGTGGTGGATCATTCTCAGCACTGCAGTAACACTGACGTGGTGGTGGTGTGTTAGTGTGTGTTGTGCTGGTCTGAGTGGATCAGACACAGCAGTGCTGTTGGAGTTTTTAAACACCTCAGTGTCACTGCTGGACTGAGAATAGTCCACCAGCCAAAAATATCCAGCCAACAGCGTCCTGTGGGCAGCGTCCTGTGACCACTGATGAAGGACTAGAGGATGACCAACACAAACTGTGCAGCAGCAGATGAGCTATCGTCTCTTTACATCTACAAGGTGGACCAACAAGGTAGGAGTGTCTAATAAAGTGGACAGTGAGTGGACACAGTGTTAAAAACTCCAGCAGCACTGCTGTGTCTGATCCACTCAGACCAGCACAGCACACACTAACACACCACCACCACGTCAGTGTTACTGCAGTGCTGAGAATGATCCACCACCCAAATAGTACCTGCTCTGTGGGGGTCCATGGGGGTCCTGACCACTGAAGAACAGGGTAAAAGGGGGCTAACAAAGTATGCAGAGAAACAGATGGACTACAGTCTGTAACTGTAGAACTACAAAGTGCACCTATATAGTAAGTGGAGCTGATAAAATGGACAATGAGCGTAGAAACAAGGAGGTGCTCATAATGTTACGCCTGATCGACGTCCCTTAAAATGAACTACTATTAACTGTCCACAAGTGTAGACCCCACACATGAAAGGGCTTTATGAGTTTATTTGTTAAGTATTAATAATTTTTTGTCTTTGTAAAAATGTCTGTAAACTGCCTGGTTTTTAGTTTCAGTGCACAGTGTGGCACAATGTAGCTAGCAGAGCTGCTGTAGCACAGTTTGTTAATGGTTGAATCTCAAACGGTCCCCTTCTTCCTATGTAGTGCACTATGTAGGTTCTGTCTTCAGCAGCACAATAGTGCTCTAGATGAGTAGATAGAGCTGTGTTTAGCGGCTGTGTTTCACGTGCGGTGTGAGCACCTATGTTGCGTCATGTCAGTCAGACCGAGCGTTTTCGTAGTGTGAGCAGATAAATCACAGGCTTTTTCTGTACATGATGGGGGATTCAAACACACAGTGTGTGGAGTCAGCAAAGAACAAGATTACTGAAATCACACAGTGTACGCCTGGCTTTATACGGGTTCCAGAGAGTTCTGACATAGAGAGAAGACGTTCTATAAAGTGGGTTCCTTCAGGCTCTCAGCTCTGCAGAGATCAGTGTTCTCCATCTTCTAGCTCTCTGAATTCAGCTGATGAAGATCTTGTTAATGAGCTGATCAGGTGAATCAGGTGTGTTTAATAAGGAGGAACACTAAACTCTGCAGAGTTGTGGTCTGGAAGGAACCCAGTTTGATTCCTCTGTTCTGAACCATTGAACCTTTATGAGTCGTGTAGCCTGAACTCAGTTCAGCTCAGATCAGGATTCACTCTGAATGTTCAGTACAGCATTAAAGAGGCTGTTCATGTGTTCAGTTTACTCACCCAAGTTTCTGCACAGAATCAAGTGTTTGTGTGAGGGTCTTCCCTGTGTCCTTAGTCTGCCCACTAATCTGGCCACTGTAATGATAGAAAGAAGAGAAAGAGATTGAGAATTTCTTTCATTTGTTTTCTAGGATTTGTTTGTGGTTGTAGTGATAAAACTCTTCATACACTCCTCTCCACAACTACTGGCAGACTGGGAAAAATTTTTACAAAGGGTTTTAACTAGGGGTGGGAATCTTTAGGCGCCTCACGATTCGATTCGATTACGATTCAGAGGCTGAGATGCGATTCTAAAACTATTATCGCTGCATCTTGATGCATCTTTTTTCCTATACAGGATTTCTTTTTTCTCACTGTGTGAGGACTTGGAACTTTTAAAGCAAAGTATTTGTGATGATCCATAATGAATTTACTTCCAATATCTTTTATTAATAAATCAAATGGAAGCCATGTCAACTGGAAGGCTCTCATTCACTGCTCTTGTTTGGAGCCCATGAGACGCTGCTGCCACTCATCTGTGATAAAATGCACTGTTATGGTGAAATAAGATCCTGTGGTAATGAGTGTCCACTCAGCAGTTTACAGCTACTCTACCTGTTTATTCAGTGATTTAACTTCAGTTTTGGTCTCCTTGTAGAGTGTGGGGGGTGTCAGTAAAATATCTCTGAGACTGGACGCTGTATCTCAGCTCCAAAGTGTGCAACATAGCACGAAAGCCTTGGTTCTCAACGACTGAGGACAGATGCAAATCATTGGCAATAAAAGTTGTGATAGAGTTTGTAGTTCACTTCGTCCTTTCAGAGTTGGGTGAAAGCTTTGACATCGCTTGATCGATGGTCCTCTGGTTGGCAGCAACTACAACCGGGCGGAAAATGGTGGAAACATGTAATATGCTCCACAGAAGCCAAAGTGCTTCCATACGCTAGCTCAGGGGTCGGCAACCTGTGGCTCTTTCACTGGCCTGGTGTGGCTCCACATCAGAGTTAGATTTCTAGGTAGAATAAAATAATCCTCATTTGCAGTAAAATAAAGCTCTGCTGATCGTTCAAACACAGTTTAACAATGAATGATCTTAAACGCCTGAATTAATGTAGCATATAACTGCTAGTTCACCTAGCTAGTAGCTAACGAACAGGCAAAGAGAAGGATTTAAAATGAACATCCATAATTTGGAGATGAATGGACTTATTTGCATTTATAATCCCTCCAGCTGGTTTCCTGATACGTTTAATCTGCAAAGAGAAACTGTCAAACAGTAAAAAACATGTAACTGAAGTCAGTTTCTCGTTCTCCAGCTTCTCGTTCGAATTGTCCCATTCCACCTTAAATGGTGCCTGAGGCGCCAGAGTGTAACTGCTGCAGCATTTAAGGTGGAACGGAAAAATTTGAACGAGAAGCTGAAGAACGAGAAACTGACTTCAGCCTCGTAAAAAGTAGAACACTGAGAGACATTTTACAAGAAACTGTTCTCCTTTCCAAGGTCAACATATCTTTGCCTTGTTTAAATTGTGTGTTCTCCTATCTTTCACATGGTGACGAATGAAGGGAATTTGACCTCTGTGTGACCTCATATACCCCAGTGACACAGGAAGTTGAAGATGACTGTGTGGAAGTTCCTAGACACTCTGATTATCTTTAAAATGTAAAATACAAAGGGAAGAAGTGTTTCATTTACATTTTGATTATAAGAATTTTCACGGGTGCCAGTAATCGTGGCACATGTGGTTTTGTTAAAATAATTTTCTTGATGAGGATTTTTTTCTCAGAATAAATTTACTTCAGTTAAAGATTTTCATTTTTGTCAGTATGAGATTAAGCTAATTCAGCAAAAGGAAGGATCCCAGTTTGATTCCTCTGTTCTGAACCATTGAATCTTTGTGAATCGTCTAGCCTGAAATCACTGAAGCTCAACTCAGGATTCACTCTGAACGTTTAAAGCAGCAATAAAGACGCTGTGTGTGTTGGTGTACTCACACAGTCCTCTCCAAAGAATCCAGTCTCTCTTTGAGGGTCTTCTCTATGCACTTAATCTGCTCACTATTCTTCTCACTGTAATTAAAGGAACGAGAGAAAGAGGTTAGGAAATGAATTTCACGTTTTCAAACACTTGATATTTCTTAGTATAAAGTGTAAAATTTGAATTTACTAAAGAATCAACAGTTAAACTTAATCAACATCACACAGTCAGAACCCTGTTATCTGATGCTGATCACACACTGCAGAACATTCATCCAGATTTCAGTCCTGATTTTAGTCCTGTGCTAATGTTTAAGCTCATGTTGAGCTCAGTCTTTATCTGTACTACAGAATTTGGGGTGTTGAGGATTTGATTGTAGTTGTGATGAAGAAACTCTTTCATACTAGTTACTCAAAAGAGAGTTCTGTAAACTATAAGGAGGAACACTAAACTCTGCAGAGCTGTGGTCTGGAAGGAACCCAGTTTGATTCCTCTGTTCTGAACCATTGAACCTTTATGAGTCGTGTAGCCTGAACTCAGTTCAGCTCAGATCAGGATTCACTCTGAATGTTCAGTACAGCATTGAAGAGGCTGTTCATGTGTTCAGTTTACTCACCCAAGTTTCTGCACAGAATCAAGTGTTTGTGTGAGGGTCTTCTCTATGCCCTTAGTCTGCCCACTAATCTGGCCACTGTAATGATAGAAAGAAGAGAAAGAGATTGAGAATTTCTTTCATTTGTTTTCTAGGATTTGTTTGTGGTTGCAGTGATAAAACTCTTCATACACTCCTCTCCACAACTACTGGCAGACTGGGAAAAAATGTTTTACATGGGTTTTAACTAGGGGTGGGAATCTTTAGGCGCCTCACGATTCGATTCGATTACGATTCAGAGGCTGAGATGCGATTCTAAAACTATTATCGCTGCATCTTGATGCATCTTTTTTCCTATACAGGATTTCTTTTTTCTCACTGTGTGAGGACTTGGAACTTTTAAAGCAAAGTATTTGTGATGATCCATAATGAATTTACTTCCAATATCTTTTATTAATAAATCAAATGGAAGCCATGTCAACTGGAAGGCTCTCATTCACTGCTCTTGTTTGGAGCCCATGAGACGCTGCTGCCACTCATCTGTGATAAAATGCGCTGTTACAGAGAAATAAGATCCTGTGGTAATGAGTGTCCACTCAGCAGATTACAGCTACTCTACCTGTTTATTCAGTGATTTAACTTCAGTTTTGGTCTCCTTGTAGAGTGTGGGGGGTGTCAGTAAAATATCTCTGAGACTGGACGCTGTATCTCGGCTCCAAAGTGTGCAACATAGCGCGAAAGCCTTGGTTCTCAACGACTGAGGACAGATGCAAATCCTTGGCAATAAAAGTTGTGATAGAGTTTGTAGTTCACTTCGTCCTTTCAGAGTTGGGTGAAAGCTTTGACATCGCTTGATCGATGGTCTTCTGGTTGGCAGCAACTACAACCGGGCGGAAAATGGTGGAAACATGTAATATGCTCCACAGAAGCCAAAGCGCTTCCATACGCTAGCTCAGGGGTCGGCAACCTGTGGCTCTTTCACTGGCCTGGTGTGGCTCCACATCAGAGTTAGATTTCTAGGTAGAATAAAATAATCCTCATTTGCAGTAAAATAAAGCTCTGCTGATCGTTCAAACACAGTTTAACAATGAATGATCTTAAACGCCTGAATTAATGTAGCATATAACTGCTAGTTCACCTAGCTAGTAGCTAAAGAAAAGGCAAAGAGAAGGATTTAAAATGAACATCCATAATTTGGAGATGAATGGACTTATTTGCATTTATAGTCACTCCAGCTGGTTTCCTGATACGTTTAATCTGCAACTGTCAAACAGTAAAAGACATGTCAAACTGAAGTCAGTTTCTCGTTCTCCAGCTTCTCATTCAAATTGTCCCGTTCCACCTTAAATGGTGCAGCAGTTACACTCTGGCGCGTCAGGCACCATTTAAGGTGGAATGGAAAAATTTGATCGAGAAGCTGGAGAACGAGAAACTGACTTCAGCCTCGTAAAAAGTAGAACACTGAGAGACATTTTACAAGAAACTGTTCTACTTTTGTGAAAAGTTTCCAGGTGGTGATGAAAGAAAAGCAGCTACAGCTGAGCTAAAGCTTAAAGCAGAGCAAAGTGAGTCTGTGTTTTTGTTTGTATTATATTTTTTATCCTACAGTAGGACTTTAGCACGTACTGAGACACACGTACAGCCAAGATAGTGAAATGAACTCAAGATGTTGTGGTTCACAAGGTGGTTTGATTTTTGCTGAAAGGACAAAATGACCCTTATTAACGTTTGGGATGCGACCCCTGCACTAGCTTTTAATTTAGTGTGCCGCCACAGACTGTCCGGGCGCCGCACTTCCACACTTTGCAAAGTTCCACCTTTTGTGTTCCGTCAACATCACGTTATAAAATAAGATTTGGAAAATCGATTTTTGACATTTATGAATCGATTCAGAATCGTCCACGTCCGCATCGCAATACATCTAATAATCGATTTCCCGACCCCTAGATATAAGCAATTCACCTTTTGATGATTAAGCTTCACCTCACACTGAACAAAAATGAGAAAAATCCAAACTTTAACTGAAGCAGGTAAATCCATCAAGAAACAGTTTTCCAAACAAACTACATGTGTCACAATTATTGGCAGCCCTGCATTCAATGCTTTGCTAATGAAACAGCACTTATTCTTCTCCTACATCATCTTCTAAGGTGGGAGAACACAGAGCAGGGAATGTGAGACCAGTCCTCATTACAGAATCTCTCCAGATCTTCCAGGGTCCTAGCTCCTCTCTCTCTTTAGCTCAGCCCACAGGTTTTCTATGGGGTTTAGATCAGGGGACTGAGATGTTCAGAGCAGAAGCTTGATTTTGAGTTCAGTAAACCTTTTTTTGTGTTGGACATATGTTTTTGATCATTGTTCTGCTGGAGGATCAAATGATGACCTATTTGTTAGGTTCTTGATCCAGGCAGACAGAGTTTGATTCAGAATCTGCTGGTATTTCATCGTATTTTCCTTTTTCTGTAACTCTCCTTGGGGCTTCTTTGTCCTCTCTTACCATCCACCTCACTGTGTGTGGGGACAGAATACACTTGGGTTCTCATTCAGTCAAGTCTGCAGCTATTTTTCTACATCCATTCTCTGATTTATGAAGGTCAACATATCTTTGCCTTGTTTAAATTGTGTGTTCTCCTATCTTTCACATGGTGACGAATGAAGGGAATTTGACCTCTGTGTGACCTCATATACCCCAGTGACACAGGAAGTTGAAGATGACTGTGTGGAAGTTCCTAGACACTCTGATTATCTTTAAAATGTAAAATACAAAGGGAAGAAGTGTTTCATTTACATTTTGTTCATAAGAATTTTGACGGGTGCCAGTAATCGTGTCACATGTGGTTTTGTTAAAATAATTTTCTTGATGAGGATTTTTTTCTCAGAATAAATTTTCTTCAGTTAAAGATTTTCATTTTTGTCAGTATGAGATTAAGCTAATTCAGCAAAAGGAAGGATCCCAGTTTGATTCCTCTGTTCTGAACCATTGAATCTTTGTGAATCGTCTAGCCTGAAATCACTGAAGCTCAACTCAGGATTCACTCTGAACGTTTAAAGCAGCAATAAAGACGCTGTGTGTGTTGGTGTACTCACACAGTCCTCTCCAAAACATCAAATCTCTCTTTGAGGGTCTCTTCTATGCGCCCAGTCTGGTCACTGTTCTGGATACTGTAATTAAAGGAACGAGAGAAAGAGGTTAGGAAATGAATTTCACATTTTCAAACACTTGATATTTCTTAGTATGAAGTGTAAAATTTGAATTTACTGAAGAATCAACAGTTAAACTTAATCAACATCACACAGTCAGAACCCTGTTATCTGATGCTGATCACACACTGCAGAACATTCATCCAGATTTCAGTCCTGATTTTAGTCCTGTGCTAATGTTTAAGCTCATGTTGAGCTCTGTCTTTATCTGTACTACAGAATTTGGGGTGTTGAGGATTTGATTGTAGTCGTGGTGATGAAGCTCCTCATACTAGTTCTAGAACGTTATGTCAAAGAGAGAAGATGTTCTATAAACTATAAGGAGGAGAACTAAACTCTGCAGAGCTGTGGTCTGGAAGGAACCCAGTTTGATTCCTCTGTTCTGAACCATTGAACCTTTATGAGTCGTGTAGCCTGAACTCAGTTCAGTTCAGCTCAGGATTCACTCTGAATGTTCAGTACAGCATTAAAGACACTGTGAACACGCTCAGTGTGAACACACAGAATTCTGCAACAAATCAAGTTTCTCTTGGAGGCTATTCTCAATCCACCCAGTCTTTTCAGTAATCATGTCACTGTAACTATAGGAACAACTTTTACATTTTTACATACATCTTTTACATTTTCAAATACTTGCTATTTTTTAGTGTACAGTGTGGAAACTGAATTCACTAAACAATCCCATTAGACTTAATCAACATCACACAGTCAGAAACCCGTTATCTGATGCTGATCACACACTGCAGAACATTCATCCAGATTTTAGGAGAGAGAAAGAGAGAGAGAGACATGCGTAGAGAGGGAAAGAGAATAATGGATGTTTATCTCTCAGCGATTAATGGTGGATTTCAACCATCTGCACAAACCTCTTGTGGAGTTGTTCTTGCATTGTCCTTTCGAATCCCTGATTGTGCCTCCTCAATATAAGCAACACCAACACCAACACCAACACCACCAACACTGTGAGAAGTAGCATTGCAGTCGCCCACCCTGGCACAGACGCCTGTTCTCCATCTGAAAAACACACACAGACATTTTAAACCATGTGGTGTTGATCTGTACAGTGTAGATCCAGAGAATCACTTAATCACCTCATTATTATTTACTGTGTATTACAGTACAGAACTGCTCCACACTAATGACATTAAACCTGATTAATCATCATTTATTACACACAGTCTGCTGTGGAGCTCCTACACAACACACCACAAAGAGCTTTAATCACCTCATTATTATTTACAGTGTATTACAGTACAGAACACGCTACAAAGTGAGTATTTAATGTAGAGAGAAAAACACACAGTCATGTTTAATCCTGCATTTTCATTTCATATCATTAGAATCAGAAAAGTGGCTGAAAATGTGTTTAGCTGAGACAATGACATCCAATATTTGACATACTCTGTTCACAAATAGATTTTCTCCTGAAATAATATAGCTAGTGGACATCAGGCCACTTTATTAGTGTTATTATTTTGCTAAGCCAGCTGTTTATTTTTAATAAACACAAAGTAAGAATCAAAATATTGAACATTTATTTCACTTAGCCATGCTTTGCTGCAGACAGCGTAGAGTAAATGGTCTCACATCTCACATAATGGTATAAACATACACCTATATATAAAAAGATGCACTAGGATATGTTAACCTGATAATTATGAATAAAGATGCACCCTATAAGCTTACTCTATTTACTAGAATAGTTAAATATGAAAATGCAGCATATTTAACAAATAATTATTAATAAAGCAGTATATTTCACAAATATGTAGCCTATAAATAAAAGCTCACAAATTAATACTGAATGCTTAGATTTTTTTCCATGAAAGAAAAGTGGATGTCGTAACTGAAATTGCAGTCACTTACTAATTTAATCATCATGAAAATTCCTAGATGATGAGCTAAATTAGCTTCAGATTTCCATGAAGGAAAAGGAAGGATGCCAGTGATGGAAGAGGTCTTTAATATGCTGCGTCTGTCCTCGAGGATCCCCCCAAACCCGTAAGACTCATAGTGATGATGCGTTAAATGCCAGTTTGCAGAGTCCATGATGGACAAGTTTATTAAGTGATGGAAACTCAAACATGTGACTTTTCCACCACTGAAAAACATGATGTGGTCCTGATGTCTCATATATGTCCAGTTTTACTCTTAAATAGTCTTTTATCTTTGAATCCAAAGTTGTTACGTCACTTCACATGGAACTCCCATTCTTCAAAATCACTTATATGTGCTTTCTTAGTGGGCGGTTCAGGTTTGGCATCAAACTGCAAGTCCACGATCAGCTTTTTCACAGCATTCACTGTATCTTGTTGTGCATAATCATATTGATTATTCTCCAGCAGTATTTCTGAAATTTGTTCATTTTGTTGTGGGACAGAGTCTAGCATATCAAAAACTGAATTACCCTATGCCTCCACTGCCTGTTTCAGAGGTTACATCAGCTTACCTTGTTGTATGGAATGTTTGAAACAGGTGACCAACTTTCAGAAGCTGAGAGATCTCACACATTTTCCATCACTGTAGTTGCAAAAGCACTTGATAAAATCACGTTGAGTAGGTGTGCACTGCAGTTGATCCTGGTGAAGCCATTGCAGGCTAGCATCCATATTTACTCATCTGTCAGTTCCAAAGAGGATCTTATTTGCCATCCTTGTGCATGTGCAGTCAATTCCAAAAAACACAGCTGAACCAAGATCAAATGTTGTCATCTGTATTTCTGGTTCTTGGCTCAAACTGACTTGCAAAAAAGAACCCTTGACACAAGATTGTAGCTTTCGTCTATGTAATGGTTAATGGCTAAAATGAAAGACGTCTTCCTATAGTTTTCAGTCCAAATATCTGTAGTGACAGCACACCCGTATTTGCTGATGGTCTCTGTCATGCTGTCTACTAGAGATCTTTTCAGTTTTAGTGCTTCTTTGTCAGTGTGCTGTGAAATGGCTGTGGGATGGGGCAACATCTCTCTGACAGCAAATTCACCAATCATGGCTGCAGAATTAACCAAGTACTGCGCTAGATTGAAAAAGCCCTGACCAGAGACTGTGTTAAATGGTCGTATGTTCATCCAGACAAATTCATCACATTTCTCTGTCGTTTATTTCTTTAACCCTTAAAATCCCAGGCTTATTACGTAATAAATCTTATTTTTAATCTTATTATTATGTAGTAACTATAGGGACTTCTGTGTAAACTAGTTGAGTTATTCTTTGAATATAGAGGTATATAATAAAACTTGGCCACTTAAGGGGTTAAATCATTCATTACTTTAGTAATCTTGGGGGTGAATGACAGTTTGGTTTGCTCCTTTTGAACTGTGTACACATAACATATTAAACCAGAAGTACCCGATGTGTAACTACTGTACACTAACACTTCCTGACATTTATCACAGCAAGCAAATGGTAGCTGATTTCTATCTGTGTCAGTCACGACTGAAAATAACTGCCATATGTCAGACTTGAATTTAGTTATCTTAATTGTGGTGTATTCACCTTTCTTTAGAGCGATTTCCACAGCTGAGGCCGACTCTCTAAATGCTCCACCATTTCTGTAGCACAGTAATGCAGTTCATGTGTTGGCTGGATATTTTTGGTTGCTGGTCTATTCTCAGTGCAGTAGTGACATTGAGGTGTTTAAAACCTCCAGCAGTGCTGCAGTGAAACAGAACGAGACTCATACTGGGCTCCCAGTGGGACAAACATCTAGTGCTGTTTTCCTGGACATGGATTAAACCTAAACATGGGCTAAGTTTCAGGGTCAACGGAGAATCACCACTGGAAATTCTTTTCAATCTAGACTTGGGATTAATCTGGGTCTGGGAACCTGGTCTATAAGGTCTGTAAATCCTGATGCATTACTGGTAATATTTTAACCAATAGTGATTAAATTGTGGGTCGACAATGTTGGCTCATCTTATCAATGAGCCCGTATTGCACTCTAATTTTGATACATTATTACATATAAAACAGTCATGTCCGACAACACCACCTGATTGGTTGAGAAGTGTTCTATCACAATACCTGTATCACTTCGCTGAGCACCAGTTGCTACAAGTTGCTGTCTTTACGCTGCAGCTAACTATTAACTAAGTTTCTACTTTAGCACAATCAAAAACATAAAATATAACTTCTATGAGATAGTATTTGAAATGCAGCCCATTTGGTGAGATTCTGAAGAAGAGAGTGACCACAGAACCACACCAGATTCCCAACCTGCTGTATTGATCCTGAGCAAGTGGACAACTAAATGATTAGAATACAGTTCAGCAAACAAGATGGGCTGTGAAACTCTTTACAGACTGAGAATTACTGGATCAAAAAGGTTTAGAAGGTTAGCTGTAATTTAAATGGTAACATATCAGAACCAAAACTAGCATCCAATAATCAGAAATACATAATTAGCAAGTTACAAATGTACATAATTTACACAGCTGGTGGTAATCATTGTTATTAGTTAGCCCCATTGTTATTAATTTTACAGTACATCAGCTAACAAGAAGGAACCCCTCCAAAAAATCCTGCCTAGGTCCCCCAAAAATGCTAGAACTGGCCCTGCTAGTATTTCTTTATTGAACAGATCTTACCATGGGGTGTTCCTTTAGTATGACTGCTGCCAGAAATATTCATCCCTGGATCTGATATGCCCAAATTCAGGAACAGTGAGGATGAAGAAAAAAAAGAACTTCATTAAGTGCAGATCTGATATAAATCACTGCATCTAAATCACTGGAGCTCTGTTATTAACAGTCAGTGAAGAAAACAGATGAAGACCTACCTTCAACCTGAAGCCGCACATCACAGAGTTCTGAATTACCGCACTCACACGTGTACAAGCCCCTCATACTGTAATCAGCATTAGTGATGATGAGAGAGAGATCTCCCTTCAGGTACCGATTATGGATCATCTGATATCCCTTCTTTGATCTACATGAAGTCTGATCACACTCAGCCAGAACATCAGTGGGATTACTGAACACAGTCCATCTGACCACACCAGAGCATCTCTCAGAGCAGGGCAGAGTAGCAGAGTCATGAAGATTCACCTTCACTGTAGGATCAGCTGATTCAGACACTGAAAGAAAGAATAAGAAAAGGAAAGTTAAAACGTGGTTTAGTAACAGTTAAAGAAATTGTTAAGTTAAAATATTAGTTAATTATTGCTACTATTTGTAGAAAAAACATTCATAATATATAGAATGGATAATCTAAAATTAATAATTTGATTAAACTTACAATCTAAAATACACAGTACTGTATTTTCCATTCACTCTGCAGTTGCCAGTTTATATACTAATATTTGTTTTTTACTTCCACCTCTTTTTAAGTGTTCAGACTCTCCAGTTCAGCCTGGATTGTTGTTAAACAGGGAGAGCCTCATGCTGGGCTCCCAGTGGGACAAACATCTAGTGCTGGTTCCTGGATATAGATTAACCTGAAATGTGGGCTAGTTGTAGTGTTAATGGAGAATCACCACTGGAAATTCTTTTCAGTCTAGTTTTACGATTAATCTGGGTTTGGAAAACTAATCAATATTATCTCTCCCCAAACTTGGCAGATCCCAAGTTTGAATCCCAGCAGTGCTGGAAAAAAAGCCATTGATGCATCATCAGCAGTATTTCACCTATAGCCAATACATTGTGGGTCCATTGACAGAATCTGATTGGTTGAGAAGTGTTCTGTCACAAATGCCAACACTTCTGTACAATAATTCTGCTGAGCACAAAAACAGAGAACGGACACTTTAGATAACTTCTGTAAGATATTAGTTGAGCTGCAGCCCGTTTGGCCAGATCCTGAAGAAGAGAGTGACCGCAGGACTACATCAGATTCTGAACATGATGTTGATCATAATTGAGCTTTTCAGAACAACTTAACCAACTGGAATCATCCAGTTCTTACCAGCAGTGAATGTGATGATCAGTAAGGTCAGGACACAGTAAGCAGAGCTGCAGGACTGCATCGCTCAACTACATCAACAGGAACCCTAAAAAAGACACATAATGATCAATAAATAAGAAATCACATACATCTAAACAGCAACTGTTCTGAACTGCTGCAAAAATAAAAATTCAACATCTGCTCTACAATCAGCATCATTCAGCAATCTCTTTCCCTGCTAATGCACCTTTTTGTTTTTAGTTGTTGCTTTTGCACAGTAAAAAGTTCTCGCTTTTAGGAAATGTGTCAGTGTTAATGGTTCTCCTTTATTTAGTTTTTTAAAGCCCTTTTAGATCAATAGCAGCTGCTGTTCACGCACACTTATTTATGAATTATAAACATAAGTGTTTGCCATTGATTTAAAATGAATAGAACTGCATTAAGGCTCATCAGAAGGTTCAGTGGAGTCTTACATTAATGTTACTTTTGTACAGAGTCTGAGAGCCTGAAAGGAAATGTGTATAAAAGTATAGATAGTGGACAAGTTATGAAAGTTACATCTGGAGCAAAAGGTCACTCACGTAAAATGTTTCTTTTTTTGGATATTCTTGTTTTTCTGTGAGTGTATGACACACCCATGACATTATGTGTACAGAACACACAATTCTCAAGCCTGTCTCTAGAAATGTGAAAAACCAATTTAATGTATGAATGTAATAAAAGTAAAGAAATTCCAGAGGCCTACAAAGACACGCAGCAGTTTGAAAGAGTCTATAAACCTAAGACAGTCTGGATTATAAATCTGAGGGGTATAACAGTAAGTTAGTTTACTAAGAGCTCAACCAGGGGTAGGCTCCAGCACCCCCACCACCCAGGGGGATAAGTGGCTTAGAAGATGAGTGAGTGTGTCTAATAATAATAATATTAATAATAATTTGTTTTTAGACGGTATCTTACATGTTCCTTTTGCCTTGTAGTGCACAACATTCAGCACACGGATCCACTCACAAACTCCATCTCCCAGAATGTGACACTTACCCCACAGTCATCTGCCAATCATGAACCGTTCTCAAGATGATCATCACCTAAATGCTGAATTGTCACACCTGAATCCTATTACACATTCCCCATATGGACTGTTTGTTTTCACTCTTTCTTTGCAAAGTATTGCCCCTATTTCACCAGAGTCTGCTGTTTGTTTTATCCTGTTTTGTATTTTCCCGTGTTTGTAGCACAATTTATATTTTTGATTTTGTTTTTGGCTTTTCCTTCCTATTGATTTTGTTTGCTGTGCTCTTTGGTTTATGATTTTAGCTTTAGCCTTTACTACTCTCTTGATGCCTCTTTTTTGGATCAGTTGGATCAACACTAGCAAATTTCTGAAAGCTTTATTCAGTCTCTGAGAACTGTGATTCAGCAGCAGGACAAACAGCAGAAGCAACTGTCCTAGCTTGTCACTAAAGGATCTCACTACCCAAATACAGTTGATTGGATTAGCTACTCCAGTCACTACTCCCCCTAGTTCACCTGCACCTCTTGTAGTTAATACCACTTTTCCAGTTAAGAAGCTGGACAAATTTGATGGATCCCCTCTTAAATCCTGCAGATTTCTATGGCAATGTTCAGTGTACTTCAGTAACTCCCCATCAAAGCTCTGATCACATCAAGATCTTGTTTATGGTATCTTGCCTTACTGATAAGGTTTTGAGGTTGGCCCCTGCTGTTTGGTCTAATATTCACACCCTCTCATATGATCGGTTTGTAACAGACTTTGAAGCAATGTTTGATCACCCTCATGAGGGCAGAGTTTGCAGCAAATTGTTGTTGAAGCTCCGTCAGGCCAATTCTTCAGTTGCTGAATATGCTCTGGAATATCATGTGTTAACTCCTGGTAACAGTTGGAATGAATTGGCACTTTCAGTCATTTTCAGAAATGGACTTAATGATGATGTAGTCACCGAACTGGCTTGTAAAGATTTTTTGTTGATCAACTTTCTAACTGACAGTTCATTTAGGCCAACTCTTGAACAATCATAAGCCCAGGAGGACCAGCATGATACATCACTGCCAAGCTTCCAATGATCATAAGCAACGTCTGTTTCCAAGCCCTAGCACCAGGAAGCCCCATGATGCTTGTGATGACAAACAAACTAAGCCAATTCAGTGTGATTCATCTTGCCTATCACCACAGGAGAGGCTTTGTTGGTTAAAAGAAGTCTGTGCAACAGCACGAGGTGGTGCTGTTCGTGTTTTGCATGACTGTCAGACTTGTCTGCACAGATCTCAGGTGCCAACACCTGTACAGTGAAGTGGTGAGTATTTCCACAAAGGGTATCAATGTTTTTTCATTTACCTGTCACCTTGTACTGCCATTAAACTTTCTCTTCAAATTCTGGTTAAACCTCTAAAAATTCCCCTGAAAGTACCAGCTTTACATGGGGAACTAGTTAGAGTGGGTTCCATTTTTCATCATCATTCCTGTTAAGCTAGCTGCCAGCACCCTACATATGGATCATAACACATTTTTGTACTAGAACTATGAATGTTGCCTTAAACTTTCCATGGCTAGAGAAACATGACCCCCTTAATTCTTGGTCAGACCAAGAGCTGTTGTCATGGTCATCATTCTGTCATGAGATTTGTTTCCAGTTACCATTCCTGGCTGTTAGATTCACCTCCATAGAAAGCCCTGATACTGCTGTTAAATTTCACATATTTCCTGTTTAAATTCAGGAGGTGTTTAGCAAAGGGAATGCTCCCAAGCTTCACTGTACTAACTATTGTATTATCGATCTTGTTAAAGGAGCCACACTTCCCAAGTCACACATTTATCCCCTTACACTGGAGGAGGAAAGAACCATGGAGGAATACATCCCGTTTATTCAATTATGTGGATCAAGGATTTGTAAAAATTAGACCTCAGGAGTGCTTAAATTATGTTCATGTTAGGGATGGGTGACAAATGGAAGACAGTTTTCATTACCACTAGTGGCACTATGAGTATATGGTCATGCCGTTTGGGATCTGCAATGCACCCTCTGTCTTCCAGGTATTTCTTAACAATGTATTGAGGGACATGATTAGTCAGTTCATAATGGCATACAATGACGACATCCTAGTCTTTTCCCCTGATCCCACCACACATGTTAAACGTCACTAGGTTCTCAGTGGACTCTTAGCAAATCATTTGTACATTACGGGCAAGAAAGGTGAGTTCAACCTTCAGTCTACCTCTTTTCTGGGTTATATTATCACTGCTAATGGGACGGTCATGGATGACCACAAGGTCGAGGCTGTAGTGAACTGGTTGGTACCAACTTCCAACAAAGAGTTGCAAAAGTTCTTAGAATTTGCAAATTTCTATCATCATTTCATAAGAAATTGCTGCATCTTAGCAGCACCTCTTACTGCTCTCCTGAAAAGAGCAACTAAGAGATTGGTTTATTCCCTTCAAGCTGATGCTGCATTTTACATGCTTAAGGAGTTATTTCTCCTTAAACATCCAGTTCTGGCTGAACCATTTGTGATCGAGGTGGACGCCTCTGAGACAGGCATTGGTTTATAGGAGGTTGTGATCTCCTGGCTGTTAAGTTAGCCTTATAAGAATGGACACATTGGTTAGAAGGTGCTAATCACCTCTTTTTAGTTCTCACTGATCATAAAATGTGTATTTGTAAACTGCAAAATGATTAACCCCTGTTTAGTTCTGTTTAGTTAGTTTTGTCTGTTCTGGGTCTCATAACATGAAAGCAGATGCTTTGTCTTGTGTCTTCCATGAGGCAGAAAGAAGAGTCCTAGTCAGGAACCAAAAAACATCATTCCTTCCAGTGTTAAATTCACTTTTATTCATTGGGAGATAGATGAGGAGATTTAGAGGACCTTCGACCAGATTACTGTGCCCAATCAGTGTCTCCAGGTAAAGCCTTATGTCACTGAACAGTCTTGTGATAACCTTGTTATGTGGTCTCACTCTTCACTCAATTCAGGTCACCCAGGGAAAGTGTATACGCAACAATTCCTAACTTTTATTGTTGGGACTCATGGAGTAGCGATGCACATACATTTGTTTCTTCTTGCTCCCAGTGTAAGACCCCTAAAATGATATCCACAGGCAAACTCACACCCTTACCTGTGCTTGTCTGTCTCTGGTCCCACATTGTTATTAATTTACTGACTGATCTTCCTTCTTCCCAGGTTTATACGACCATCTTCTCTGTAGTTGACAGATTTTCATGTAGTGTACACTTTATACATTTTGTCTTTACATATTACCTTTCAGACCACAGAGACTGTATTTAAACAGATTTTTAGAAATTTTGGGATTACCGAGGACATATTGGCTGTTCAGGGACTTTCTCAAGTGTGGGCAGCTGGACTTCAGAGTATGACCCCCAATCCAATGGACAATGTGAAAGGATAAATCAAGAACTTGGGATTTTTTTTTTAACACAAGTTTTGTCACAACAACCCTTCGGACTGGTCACATTTCCCTCTGTGGGTGGAAACTGCTCAAACCTCCTTGGTCAGTTCGCCATGGAGCTAATTCTATTCCAGTGTGCTCTAGGTCATCAGTGCCCAGTAGCCCCATGGACTCCAATGATGTTGGATGTTTCAGCTATTGATGAATGGATGTGGCACAGTTAGGATGTCTGGGAGGAGGGTGTATTACAGTGGAACAAAGCTCTGGCTGATCACCCTTAGGGGAGACACCTTTCTACCAGCCTGGGGACCGAGTGTGGTTGTCAACAATGGACTTCAGGTTTGCAGAAGCTTGATCCTAAATACATTGTCCCATTTGAAATCCTGAAAGAGTTAAACATGTTACTTACCAATTAGACTTACCTTCTCATTACTGTGTCTCTTGCTCATTCCATGTGTCCCTTCTCAAGCCTGTGGTTTGAGGTTCGCTGTACAATGTCATGCTCGTTGAAATGCCACCCCCTCTGGAAGTTGCAGAGGTGTGCTCCAGTGTCTCATGGACTGGGAGGGATCTCGCCCAGAGAAACAAAGCTGGGTTCTTGCCTGTGATGTCCTGGATCAGGCATTGGTGGCCTGTTTCTACAATTGGTACTCAGATGAACATGCTCCTTGTTCTACAGGATGTCCTAAAAGGCAGAACTCCAGTCCACGCCCTGGTCGTGTTAGTCGTCCCTATGGTCATCCTAAAATGTCCAGCACTCCTGCAGCTCTGGATTCTGTTGTGTGAGTAGCAGTTGTTGCAGTCGTCCTCATTCCTCTGCAGTCCCAGACTCCTTGGGGCGGTACTGTCATGCCTCCTTTTGGCCCTGTAGTTCACAACACTTAGCACACTGATCCACTCATAATTCCAACTCTCAGAATCCACATCTGCCAATCATTGACTGTTCTGAAGATCATTGTCACCCGAATACCGAATTGTCACACCAATTTGTTTTTTTTTGTTTTTTTTACCTGAATCATTCACTATATAGACTGCTTGTTCTCGCTTTTTCTTCACAAAGTATTGCACCTGTTTCACCAAAGCGTACTGAACATTTTTTTCCTGCTTTTTCCCATGTTTTATGACACAGTTTGTATTTTTGCCTTTTGTCTTTTCCTTTTTTTGGCTTTTTTGCTATGCTTTATGCTCTTTGGTTTATGATCTTAACTTTGGCCTTGTCTACTCTTTTCATGTCCATGTTGTTAGGTTATCATCTTGTTCTGGTATTGTTCTAGCCTTTTTTTTACTTGCATTTGGGTCACCCTTTTCCTATTAAAGCCTCAAACTTTTTTGATCTGCAAGCCTTCAACTCATTCTGTCTTGTGGTGCAATAGTACTTTATTCTGTACTTAGAGGTCAGAGCTCTTCATTCTGTAATAATGATAATAATAATAATAATAATAATAATAATAATAATAAATATAGCCACAAGCAACAATTTGCGGGGTCCAAGCTTGCTTTGCATGTTTGCCTAACATTGCTATTTTTGCCACAACCCTCCTTGGGTTCATGTCAGTAAAGATTCATGCATATATATGAACTTTTATCATCATTGAAAAATTTTTAGGCTTTCAAAGGCAACCTTTTATGTCACTTTGTGCTTGGATCCCTAATAATAATGGTAACACTTTCTTTGAAGGGTGTCTACATAACACATTCATATCACCTTACATAAACACTTCATAACATGTTCATGAATGCTTAAATCAACATTCATAAACTATACATGTTTTACATGATATTAATATGGACTACTATGTCATTTTACCAAAAGATGTTTTTCAAAATAAAAGTCCTCATTTTATTTATTATTTTCAGTGAAACTCCTCATTTCTGGACTGTCAGCATAAAATGACCTGGCTTTATCCCTTTGAACAGAAAGTGTTTTGACACTTTTTGCCTAGAATTTCAACTTTTTTTATTTTTTTTCCTCAAGCATTTGTATTTTGCAATATGCTATTCTTTCTGCTTTTTGCACTAATTATTCATATATAAATTATACTGTTCATTTAACACTCTATACATTATAGTGGAAAATGTTACTTAAACTAAGTTTAACTTTCTTGGGGTAAATGCTAACACTGTTATCCCAATTACTTTGGAGGTTTTATTTTTAGTGATGTTCTTCCTCACTTACGGTTTTGGAGAAGGCACAAGTATAACTGTGCATTAGTTATCCTATGTAACTGAGGTTAAATGTGACAAGCACTGTTATCACAAGGAATGATTTCTTTTTTGGCATTACGTCAAAGTACAATCGAGTGGTGCCTCTTTGACTTTTCTCACTCAGGGTGCTGATAAATTTGTAAGAAATGTCCTTTATAAATTTGCCTTGCTTTGCCTTCATAAAAGTGATGGAAGTCACTTTATCCTCACTAAAGTGCATGTTACATGAATGGATGGATCTTGAACGGAATGGATAAGTATTATGGACCTGTCCCACCACCACACAACGTTTGAGACTTTAAGATGATTGACTGTTCATAGCATATTTATGAGTAATTTGCTGTCCATATAGTAAAGCGACATGCAAGACAACATTCATAAGTGATTCATAGCATTTTAAGGAGCTGTTAATATACCATATAGTAAAGTGACATGCAAAGCATTATTCATAAGTGATTCATAGCATTTTTAAGAGATGTTTACAGACCATGTGTATAAATAATATAAAAAATAGTGATTCACAATTAAATATCTACAAAACAAAACAAAAAAGCGAAGGGAAAGATTTAAGACAAACATCGGTAATTTGGATACGAATGGAATTCATTATCACTCCAGTTGGTTTCCCGATATATTTAATCTGTAATGAGAAACTATCAAATACTGAAAAGTCGCGAGGCTGAAATCAGCTTCTCGTTTGCCAGCTTGTTTTTCGAATTTAACCGTTCCACCTTAAATGCTGCAGCAGTTACATTCTGCCACCTCAGGCGCCATTTAAGGTGGAACGGGTAAATTCGAATGAGAAGCGACTTCAGCCTCGTAAAAAACGAACTTTGAGAGACATTTTACAAGAATTATTTTACTTTTTTACAAGATTATTTTACTTTTCGGCAAAGTTTCGTGGTGGAGATGCGAGACGCGGCTATAGCTGAGCTAAAGCTTAAAACGGAGCAAAGTAAGTATTTTGTTTATATACTTTTAGCCCATACTACCACATTAGCACATACTGAGACCCATTACAGCCAGGATGGTAAAATGATGTTTGTTGACACTTTGCCGACCCCTGGGATAGACCACGTCACTAGCCAAACGTTGCGAGTGTTTTAAGTGCACCTTGCATTTGGGACTAGCTTGTTTAACGTATCACTCTGTATCGCACTGCTGTGCGTCATCAGTAATGCTCATTTAGGCCCACTAACTACTTCAGCTCGACTGGCTTAGCATTTACCTCAAGAAAGGTAAACTTAGTTTAAGTAATATTTTCTACTATAATGTATAGTGTTGAATGAACAGTATAATTTATATATGAATAATTAGTGTAAAAAGCAGAAAGAATAGCATATTGCAAAATACAAATGCTTGAGGAAAAAAATAGAAGTTGAAATTCTAGGCAAAAAGTGCCAAAACACTCTCTGTCCAAAGGGATAAAGCCAGGTCATTTTATGCTGACAGTCCAGAAATGAGGAGTTTCACTGAAAATAATAAATAAAATGAGGACTTTTATTTTGAAAAACATCTTTCGGTAAAATGACATAGTAGTCCATATTAATATCATGTAAAACATGTATAGTTTATGAATGTTGATTTAAGCATTCATGAACATGTTATGAAGTGTTTATGTAAGGTGATATGAATGTGTTACGTAGACACCCTTCAAAGAAAGTGTTACCATAATAATATTGTAGTATTAGAGTGTGAATAGAACAGTGTTAGAACTCTTTACAGTGTACATGTTTATAAATAAATTTTCATAGCAATAATAATAATAATAGTGGTGTAACTGAGAGCTCAGAGCTCATCATAGCCGACATGTTTATAATAAAGGTTCAGAGGTGCTAAAGAATACAAAGTGCTTTACCACATAAACAGTGTTTAACTGCTTTAAAATTAACAATAGTGTTGTGTAGTACTGCTGTCTGCAGATCACTCCCCCTGTAGATGTCTGTTTTATGTGTTCTATTGTCTCTCTGTGAGGGCACCTCACTAAAGCGTAACTTTTGATTTCACTTCAGGAACTGACAGAGTGACGCACAGCTAGGTGGATCCTTCACAACATTAATTAATATTAATATGTGGTTTAATAGTAAAATCAGAGTCTGGAATTACACCAAGACTTCATACCTCATAGCTTCAGTTTTTATTGATAGATGTTTTATTTGTACAAGTTTTTCATACACCTTTTTCCTCTTTGCTTCACTACCGATTATAATTATTTCTGTCTTGTCTTCATTAAGTTTTAAAAAAATGCTATTCATCCATCTAAAAATGCTGGACAGTAATGATGTCATCTGGTGCAAAGTACAGGGTGTCCAAAAAAAATTTGACATCATTTCATAGTCTAATAACATAGCCAGTTCTCCCTCAAATGATCTCAAATTTAAACAAAATTTGTAAAAACTAACTAAGTTTAATTTATATAATAAATAATATCGAATAAATTTAATAAATACATTTAATAAATAAATCTTGAATTGTTCAACATGAAGCCTATTTAAATTTGTTTTCCAGGACATGTAGTTACTCAGATATTCACATCTCAAATGATGTCAATTTTTTGGGACACCCTGTGCTGGTTAACCTCTTGGACTTCTTGAATGTCTCAAAATAAAAATTCTGGGGTCCCTGAAAATAAACAAATTATGACATAATGCTGTCTGTAGGGAAAAACAGACAATAAAATACAAATTGAGAGGAAGGTCGTTGTTTAGCTGATTCAACCACAATCAGTGAACTTGTATCTTTGGTATTCTTAACTAGAGCTGCAGCATTGCTCTGCCTCAGGGTGGTGCTGCAACAGACTGGCTCACCCAGTTGGTCCTTCATAGCCTGGCAACTGTAACAATGCACTTGAATATCTCTGAAAACTTTACAATATGCTGTAACATATTTGTAAATCTGAAAACTTGCCCAATTTCCCAAGAGTTTGGTGGAAAGAGTGAATCGTACATATTTCACAAACCAAAGACAGAAGAGATGTGTAAGATCTCAGTTACTGTGAGTAAGAGCGCATTACCAAACCAGAAAATAGCTTTTCCAGATGAAGAACTGTTAAACCAAATAATTTTTTGCCATTGAAGCATCAATACAAGTATGGTGAGTGAGCAGCCAGTAAACACTGGATTGGTGAGCTAACGTGACCTCACAAGTATCAGGGTATCAGTATCTCACACTGGCTAAGGATATATCCAGTTGAGTATAATTGGCATACTTATGAATATTGATTCCATGCTTTCTAATAATCTGACCAAATGGCAACATATCCAAAGAAAATAGAAGTGGACCAAGTACAGAGACACCACAGAGAATACCATGCATTTAACCCAGTTCCAGAAAGAC